TTTGACACTCTAGCAACATCCTTCTCTACATTATCCATCCTGCTCTCCATCCTTGTACCAACCATGCCCCGTAATCGCCGAGCTCTGATACTAGTTTGATGGGAACCAACCTTCTAAACTCATGCTTAATCGCAAATAATAAAAGTAAAAGTAATTGTTCAATCACAAGCACTACTCTAACTGGAATAAACTAGAATAAGACTATATTAATGAGAAATAAATTGTAACAAAACAGGAAATGGAAATAGACCCAGCACTACACTGAACTTCGAGAGCCAGTTCCTCCTAAACAACTCGCTACTAATTCTCCATGCTCTATCCTATGCTACTACTCTCCTTTTATTCTCACTCAAGATTCATTCCTCTTAACAAACTCTGACACTAATTGCCATCTGTTGAGCCTTCATTGTGCCATTTGCTCCCTTGCCATATGTCCCGCCTTGTCATGTCTTCCCTTTCCCTTTATGCCCTTTTCTATTATACCACTTGGTGACCAAGTGTCCATCACAAAACCAACATGTGTTTGGCTTAATCTTGTACCAACAATCATCCTCCGAATGATTGTTCTTTTTGTAATGGTTGCAAAAAGCTTGACTTCTTCTATTTCTATATCCCTTACCTTTTCCCGAAATCCGAGTCTTCGTTCGTAGAGCAACCTCTAGCCCAATTTCATCTCTCATCTTCCTTCTTTGTTCTTGTGCTTCAAGAGCACTTATCAAGTTAGCCATTGACATTGATTTAATATCTCTTAAATCTTCGAGAGACGAAATCTTGGATTCGAACTTTTCTAACACACTTACCAGAACTTTTTCTACCAACCTCTTCTCTGGAAGGATTTTGCCCAAGATTCTGATTTCATTCACAAGCTTCATTAGCCTGTCAGAGTATTGCAATACACTCTCCATCTCAGTCATCCTCATATTGTCAAACTACCACTTCAATGTGACAATCTTCATCTTCTTTGTCTTCTCAAAACCTTGATACTCTGTTTGTAACTTATCCCAAATCTCCTTGGCGGTAGTGCAGGCAATGACCTTCATAAAAATTCCATCGGAGATAGCCAATTGCAAATGTGACAGAGTCCTTGCTCTCTTCCTATTTGCTACCTTTTGTAACTCCAATTGAGCGATCGTTGGATCCTCTAATTCTCCTTGAAAGTTTCTTCCAGTCTTGGTGACTTCCCACAAATCAGTAGCCTGTAGAAACCCTTGCATCTTCACCTTCCAAATATGATAGAGATCTCTTGTAAATAAAGGAATCGACGACATTAAACTTGACAGAGCCATCTTCCTTCAGATTTTCCTTTCCCTCTCTCTCTAACTTAAGAACCTCACCACAGATCCCTTAAGACAACTTTGCTTTGATACCAATTGTTAGAATTTAGGAGTAACAAATCAAACTTGCATAGCCCAAAAACGTGATGAACTTATAGAGAGAAAACTAAACTTCTTCTTTTTATTAATCTAAATGACTGAAAACACATTGAAGACTCTCATCTCTTTTATTGGAAGAGATCACAACTCTAATCCTAATTGAAAACTACTTCCTTATTCTACTTAAACTAAGAAAGGGAAAATACATAAACTCAAATTCTTATTCCTAAAACCAGATTTCAACTAGAATAGTAAATCTTCCCAAAACATAAAAGTTATCCTAAAACAAAACTACTTAAAATAGGAAATTAATATGAACTCTAAAACTTGAATCTAGGGCGCTCGCAGCAACCACCATTTCCATCATCGCGGCTATCGTTCTTTTTCCACGTTAAGCGCTGCTTCTCAACGCTCACTGTCACTATGGCGATGCTTTATGTCGTTACGATGACCAAGTGACTCTGCTTCTTTCCTCTGTCTTCAACCATTCTTCTTCCGACTCTTCAACCGTGGCCATCATTCTCTTCACCAAAATAGGTTCACCTTTCAACAACACTTCTAGTGAAAGGCAAGATGTTCAAAGGATTATGCATCTGTTATGCAGTCGTAGTTACCACATTTTTCAGCTTGGCGAACTCCAGGTATTGGCATTTGGGAATCAAGCCATGCCGAAAAATTCTTACTAATTTCATGGGTGATGGGAAGCCATTGCTGCCCATTTGGTTTCTTTTGATGACCAACATCTTCACTCTTATGCAACTACTAGCAATCACTTTGGTAAGAGCTACTCATTTCTAGTAATACTAGTATCTCTAATGCCATTACCATATTCACAAAGAGAAAACTATAATGGGTTTTTCTTACTATAATGTTTATTACAGATTTACTTGCAACCAACAAATGAAATTTTTGAAAAATGGTTTGCAAATCCAAAGATGGATCAATTCGCTAGGCGTAATGTACAAGGCCGATATTCAAGACACCTTCTGTGATCATTGCCACATTCATTGTTGCAATGCTACCTTTCCTCGAAGACATTATGACACTATTTGGAGCACCTGGATGCATACCTTTAGATTTCATACTGCCAATGGTTTTCTACATTGTGACATTCAAGCCATCCAAATAGAGCATAATATTCTGGGGAAAGAAGTTGATAGCAGTAGTATTCTCAGGTTTGGTAGCAGTGGCATCAGTTTGCTAAATGTGTAATATTAGCAATAACATCATGTATTGATTATAATAGACAGAATGAAGCTTGATAGATGGAATACCTGAAAGCATTTCCTGTTCATGTTGAAAATCGGAGGAGTAAAAAAAAACATTAAAATAAAAAAACAACAAATAATAATACATAAAGGCACATGATATTTTACATGATTCGGCATAACTTGCCTGCATCCACGGATGAGGGGATTTTCACTATAATAATATGAATACGATACAAGTGTTTCATCACACCATCAACCTTTATTTTGAGCGATCGTTGGATCCTCTAATTGTTCAGTCGAACATCTTGTTCATATGGTGTTTAATAGCCTTTGGTATTTACTCGATACCTAGAGCCCTTTACCCTATGGTACCCTTACATTAGAACCCCTTGTATCCTCACATTCTCTCTTTCTTTATTTCCCTCTCTCATAATCTTGAATTGGTTTTAACCCCCTCTATTTATAGGTAAAATAAGGATCTTTTTCTACTAGGATTCATATTTCAAATCCTAATAGGACTCCTCTAATTTTATTCATTCTCATATTTTAACTCTAAATAAAATCCTAAACCAATTCTTTTTTCCTAATAAAACTCAAAGTAAAAGGAAAACAAATATTCTCCAATACAAATTCCTAAACTAGAACTCTGCCTAAAACTTAAATTCTCTTTTCTTCTTGCTTGCCTTTTCTTCATCAATTACCAAAAAGTGTTCACATTCCAACACTCCTCCTTGAACTTTTTCGGTAATTCATCTTCTAAGCTTGTTCTTCATTCTCTTACTCCTCATTTCTTCTACAACTTCAACCTATCACCCTTAGTGTTGGCTTCTTCTCTCCACCCTTGGTTGGAGTCTTGATGGCTTTCTCTCGTCGATCTTGTCGCCGACATTCTTGTAGACCATCATCCTGCAATTTTTGCTGCATCTTCCTTAGGCCCATTCTCCCGCAAGTCCCTTAAAAATATAAGCTCTGATACCATGTTGAAAATCAGAGGAGTAAAAAAAAATATTAAAATAAAAAACAACAAATAACAATACATAAAGGCACATGATATTTTACGTGGTTCAACATAGCTTGCCTACATCTACGAATAAGAGGGTTTTCACTATAATAATATGAATATGATATAAGTGTTTTATCACACCATCAACCTTCATTCTGAGCGATCGTTGGATCCTCTAATTCTTCAGTCAAACATCTTGTTCCTATGGTGTTTAATAACCCTTAGTATTTACCCGATACCTAGAGCCATTTACCCTATGGTACCCTTACATTAGAACCCCTTGTATCCTCACGTTCTCTCTTTCTTTATTTTCCTTTCTCATAACCTTGAATTGGTTTTAACTAGGGGTGAGCACGGGTAGCGGGTAGAACCGGAATCGGGGGTAAGAACCGGAACCGGAACCTACCCAGAACCTGCACTGTACGGGTAGGTTCCGGTTCCAATTTTTTGGAAACGCTACTGTGCGGTTCCAGTTCCGGTTCTTGCATGTGGAGGAACCGGAATCGGAACCGGAACCTGTAAAAAGGGTACCCTGTTTGGAACCTGTAGGGGGTACCCGGTTTGGAACCTGTTTTGGAACCTGTTTGGAACCTGTTTTGGAACCTGTTTTGGAACCTGCTTTGGAACCTGTTTTAGAACCTGTTTGGAACCTGTTNTGGACACTCTAAACCCGAGAGAACAAAGCCCTCCCAAGAATGATTACAGCCCTAATCACTCAAGTCTACCTGATTACAACAATCTTGATTAAGAACTTCCACAAACCCTAGAACTTTCACTCAATTGAATAATGGAGAGAACAATCAATCTAAAAATTGGGGGAAAAACTGGGTTTAAATACGATTGACCTGGAGGCTAAATAATGGTCGTTGGATCTGATGAAAAAATTGGTGGTCTGGATTCACATAACACTTCCATGAAACGACGTTGTCCAACTTAACCTAATACTACAGAGTTTTCAAGCTTCCACTTCAACAATAGTGTTGCCACAGGAATTACAAGGAGATTGTCAGCATAATTAGTATAATTAATTGAAATAATTGCAAAGGAATGTATAAATATTAATTATGTAGATTTGATGTGGTTATTCTAATTTTTGGGATGAATAAATATTAACGGCTAGTGAAAATGGCATTAAGATTTAAGACACTATTTAATGTGTTAAAAAAAATTGATGTGATGGCATGATTTAAACCTCTCCGTATTATTTAACCATAAAATGAACCGGTTGTTATGGATAACGTTGTCATTTCAACTGGACAACGTTTCTACCAGTGAGCTACTAGTGTGTGTTAACACTTCAAGAATGAAAGCCAATAAACCTATCATGATTCGACACGTATTAACGCAGATAAAGCGGTTGCGTTTCATATTTTGAAAGTTTACGGTAGTGAACCGGTAATTGTAGTACAGATCCCCAACTGTCTCTCTGTCTCCCTCTAACTCAGAAAACAGAGGAACGAATTACAAATCTTTACTCGGTCGAACATCTCGAGGTAACTAACTCTCTTATATATGCAGCAAAAAAGATTCTTAACTTTCTTTACCTTTTTCTCGGAAACCAAACAGAACATGTCGCTAGTTTAAGTATTTTAAATTCTCGGTAACATATTTTTTAAATAGGTTGTGATTGTGTTGTTTCTTGTTGCTTTGCAGCCTAGATTTTCATTGTTTTCATGTTTAATCTTCAGAAGTGCTCCAGTTTAATCTCTTAGGCGATGTTCTGTTTTAACTTAGCTAATATAATGTAGAATTTGCTTTATTTTTTTTTTTTTTTATGTGGAATAGATGCAACGTTACTTATTAGCTTAGTTGGCAAAGTTTGAGTCTTGGTCATTCATGATTATGTGTTATGTCCTCTGGAAGTACTCTCGGAGTTGGTAGTGCTTTACATAGTAAATAAGCGAGGAAGCACTAATTGATTAGCACATTTGTTAACCAGACCAGAAATGTGACATCTGCTATTGAGAGTATTAAATCTGGTCTTGAGAGCTCTACCTTATGGTTTAGTTACACTCCATGAGTTATATCCACTTGTTAGATACAAGACTGCACCATATAAGCGAATCCACTTTTTAAGTTTTGCTCCGTGAACCATTCATGTTATTTGACTAATGTAAGCTGAAATTTAATTTTTTTATTAACAGGTTTCTTGGTCTTTCAAATGGAGAAATCTAATTGTAGTAGAGCGAGGCAGATCCTCGACAGTTTGGTTAGCTTCTTGCGGAAATTCATTTTCCGTATTCTTTCTATGGGTCCCTTACCTAATCACATTGCTTTCATAATGGATGGGAATCGAAGATATGCTAAGAAGCTGAATTTGATAGATGGGGCTGGCCATAAGGTTGGGTTCTTGGCTGTCACGTCCATGCTCAAATTTTGCTATGAGTTGGGTGTAAGAAATGTAACAATTTATGCCTTCAGCATTGATAATTTTAAACGGAGCCCTGAAGAAGTTCAATCCTTGATGGAGTTAATGCAGGAAAAGATAGAAGGATTGATTAAGGATGAGAGCATTGTCAACTGTTATGGAGTAAGAGTTTACTTTGTAGGGAATCTAAAACTCTTGAGTGAACCTGTTAGGTTGGCAGCAGAGAGGGCTATGCTGGCTACTGCAAAAAATTCCAAAGCTGTTCTGTCAATCTGTGTCGCCTACACTTCAACCAACGAAATTGTTAATGCTGTTGAGGAATCAGTTGAAGAGAAATGGAATCAAATTACTGTACTAGAAGCTAGTGGAGCAGGTTATGGTTTAATTAAACTTGGAGGGATTGAACATCATGAAAGTGAGCCCCTTATAAAACTTGTAGATATAGAAAAGCATATGTATATGGCAGTTGCACCTGATCCGGATATCATAATCCGTACTTCTGGTGAGGCCCGTTTGAGCAATTTTCTTCTATGGCAGAGTGCATTCTGCTATCTGTATTCACCTTCTGTACTCTGGCCAGAGATTGGCTTGCGCCACTTTCTTTGGGCAATATTAAACTTTCAGCGACACCACTCATATTTGAACAAAAAAGGGGAACAATTACAGCATCTTTTGCAGGATGGCTTCTGACCTTTTAAGACTTTTATTTGATTCTTGGTTTATCACTTCTTGTTCTTGAATTACTCTCAGCGACGGTAAAAGATTACAACATGGGCTGGAACTTGTTTTTGGTGTCCCGGCTGTTGGTACATTCCCTAGAAAATACGAATACAGTATATTGATCAGCAAAGAAGGAAAATACTTTCTGAGACTGCAGTATGTGTTTCTGCAACCAAGTTTGGGCATACATTGACGGTTGTAGTTTATATTTTCCATGAATTACGGGTGATCTACTTTATGTTTAATATACTCAAGATATCAGTTAGAACGGCCATTAATATTTCTACTGCCTCTGTCTCAGAGATTTCTTCAGAGTAGAATAGACTAGGGTGTTTCATTTGAAAGACCAAAATACAATCGCAGCCAAAATTGTGACCTCTCTTCAGGTTAGCCCTTTGTTCACCCGAGCTTGAAGTATTTATGGTTGATATGTCATGCATATTTTTTGGTTTATTTGTAATTTTAAGCAATGGTGAGTATGTGATGACTCCAAGATTCCTTGCATAGTGGAGATTTCTCGTTCTTTCATCGACCTCATGTTATGAAAAAGTTTTGAGAATATCTCTTGTTATGTAGATAAACACATTTGTTTTTTTGTTGAGTTTTGCTTCATATTGCCTATCTAATCGCTGTATATGCTTCAAGTTATTGATTGGAGAAGAAAAGAAGTGACAGAGGCAGCGGCTGAAGTTTTTACATGACAACATAGTGACCATCTGGGTCAGACATTAAAATTTTGTCTGTGTTTCTATTATCTATATAAATAGAGCGTCGGGTAAGAGCCCTTCTAAAATCACTGAGCGATTTCAGGTGAACGGTCTAGTCATATGCATTGTTGGAACCATAGCCCAATGCTAAGTAAGTTTTTGTGAACCATTGCCTCGGAGACTTACTTTTTTATATAGAGATGCATAATTCAATAAAAATTATGCTTCTTTCTTGGGAAGAATTGAATTTCTAATTGGTACTTTTATTTTTAATTTTTCCCATAGACTACATGTTCTCTTTGCCTTTGGTCCTTTCTAGAGTGTTACTTTCCTACAAGCAGATAGAGTTTAATGATTCATCTGTTCCACTCTGGATTAATGCTCCCTCACTATGTATGCTATATTGGTGGTTATAGCTTTTGGCGAGATTTTGACCCCTCATATGGTGGATTGAGATGGTTTTTGAATAGTTGGCTTTTTTGGTTAACTTTTGTACTTATTTGGCAATCTTCTATAGGGCTCGCGAGTGATTTGATGTGAAAAATTACAGGCATTTCAAATGTGATCATTCGGCTGCCACGAAACAGAGAAAACACTATGGCAAAAAAGAATATGATGATGGGAAGGACTCGAAAGCAGGCCAGGACCACCATTATTAAACCATCATCGGAATAAAACTAATTCAGTGGTCGTTATATAAGTTAAACAGGTGAGGTGACAATGAAATATAAAAGTTGTTGGCTGGCTAATGGCTATCTGGGACCAAGTAGAGATAGGACCACGATGATTGTATCCTCTTTAATTAGGCTCGATTGAAAAGGTCAAGAGCATTGAATTTTTCAAACTTTTTCTTTTTGTCAATAATGGTGTAGCCTTAGCCTTATCACTCTACAAACGTTGAGATGCTATGCTGGTCATGGCTGCTCCCATCACTACCAAATCTTCAACTTTCCTCTTATTAAGCCACACCTGAAAATACCTCAACTATTATTTTTTTTTCATTATTATAATCCCCAACTCATTACGAGTCAATTGCCATTTTCACTTTGCAAAATGAATTGAGATAAATACACAGGGCAATTAAGGGTTTGGATGTTCACCTTGTCTTAGGCCTAATCGCAACAAACCTATGGGATGAATGAACCAAACCACGAGCCCTGGTACAAATTATACTTTTTGAGGTCTTATCCGAGTAATTGTTTAAGAAGTGCCATTTGAGCTGAACTTGAAAAGGGATTTGGTTTACCCAATTAGATTCCAAACTCATGAAATACTCGATTATTCTGACGACTAATGAGTCTGATTCAGGCCTCTGGCATCATCACAATCATCGTCATCAACTGACATAAGCAATCCATTATAGAACCTTGATGATGGAAATATAATCGTAAGCCATATGACCTCACCTTTGCTTTGTAGAACCAAAATGGACCAGTCCTCCACACTCCAGATTCGACCTCGTGGTGGGATTATATTAATCAAATAATAGCTAATTAAGAACGTAACTCTGATGACACATACACAAACGTAATCACATGATCTCATTCTCATCAAGACCAACCTGAAATCTAGGCTACCCCCGAATCCAAACGCAAGCTTTGATTTGTTTTATCTTAATAATTTTGCCCATCTTAAAACAAGTACACCGAATCTATCACGTTAACATGATCAAAAACAGGACACCGTCACCCACATGACATAACACGATTTCAACCTATTTGATTCCCACCTAAAAAATACTAAATTGTAAAAAGTACTTACCAAACAATCCAAATACCTACATAGTAGTGGCCCCCCCTACACATCTCATCTACCAATCATATTCGTTTTGTTTTCCAAGAACCCAAAATCTATCTCCATCAAACTGTTTCTTTCGGCAGATTGAAAATTTTAAAACCCGTTATTGGAGGGTAATGTCAACTTCTGATTAAAGTATATTTTCTACGTTATATAAATGGTTTAGACTTTAGAGTGAAGTGGTAAGCTTAATTCATGGAAGGAGATAATAGAAGGAAGGTCAAAGCAGAGGAAAAACCAAGTGTTCGTTATAGAGGAGTAAGAAGACGGCCATGGGGAAAATTTGCAGCTGAAATTCGTGACTCTAGTAATTATGGAGCTCGGTTGTGGTTGGGAACTTTCAACACAGCCGAAGAAGCGGCACGAGCTTACGATAAAGCTGCTTTTTCCATGAGGGGTCCCTTGGCCATTCTTAACTTCCCAGACGAACACTTCTCATTTAATGTCAGTTCTTCTTCCTCTTCACCACTCTCTTCTTCTTCTTCCTCCTCCTCCTCTTCTTCTTCTTCATCAGCATCGTGCTCATCATCTTCTAATTTAACAATGTTTCAGAAAGTGGAAAGAAGTGGTGCTGAAACAGGGAAAGAAGTATTTGAAATTGAGTACTTGGATGACCAGTTGTTGGAGGACCTTCTTAACTTTGAAGAAGACAAGACCAAGAATGAATGAAATCACCAATACGACGTCCATATGCAACCTCTACCATCGAGTAAATCGAAAAAATATATTTTACTTACTAAGAAAGGTTGTTCGGTCAAATGACGAAACAGACTATTGAATTTCGTCATTATGGCTTCTGTAGTTATTAATTACAACTGTTGGGGGGACATTTATCTGTCAAAGAATATATTTCTGACGGCTCCGATGTATATGAGAATGAATTGACTTCTTCTGAAGTCAAATCTCAGCCACGCGTCGGTATTGGTTTTTGCTTTAAATATGTTTCTTGTTCGCCAGCCCCTCCCCCTCCACCCAAAAGAAGGTTCCTTTACCGAAAAAGGGTAATGTTTCATTTTAATTTTCATGTTGCTTAATCCAATTGCTGAATATGAGATGTTAGGTTGTTTAAGTCTTTATTATCATGAAGTAAATGAGTGAAATACAAGTAGCCTGCTTGCCAGAACTTAATTAAAAACCCAGAATACATAAATTCTGCATATCGTTTTTAAAAATTTATGATCAGTTGATCACCAGTACCAGTCTACTGTAATGATACTTCCCATGGCTCGAAACGCGGATATTTGCAAAGAATAAAAATTTCAATTACGCAGAAAAGGATCTACAATAAGCAACAACTTGTTGACAAACGAATCTAGCTAGTTATTGTTATTTTTACCTGGCCAATAATCCTCCTTTGTATCTAGAAGCTCCTCCAATAACTCATTGTCTAAATACTCGAACTCTATAACTTCATTTTTAGTTTCTTTTCCAGCTCTAGAAGAAACTCCTCTGCCAGAGCCAGTTCCAGATCCAGATCCAGAATCAGAACCAGAACCAGAGACATTACCATAATTAGCCCGAGAAGATGATGATGATGAAGAGAAAGAGGTGGATTGAGCATGATACTGATAGTCGTTTGGGAAGTTAAGAATGGCTAAATGACCCCGGAAAGCAAAAGCAGCTCTATCATAAGCTCGAGCCGCCTCTTCAGCAGTGTTAAAAGTGCCAAGCCACAGGCGAGCACCATTCCTTGTTGGGTCACGTATTTCAGCTGCAAACCTACCCCATGGTCTCCGACGAATTCCCCTGTAACGAACCTCTGATCTTCCATTAATCTCATTGCTCTCCATCTTCTTGTTGTTGTTCTTGGTGTTTCTGCCTCCCCTGGGTGTCTCCATGTTGTTTATGAAATAACAGCAGTGAGACAATTCGTAACGTCCAAAAAAATTTAATTAGAAAGTTGGTGGCAACTAATTATAATGGAACGCCATAGGATACATATGTATATAATGGTATAGCCACATCAGATGTAGAAAAAAAAAATTGGTCACAGCTGACGGTTGAGAAATGAGAAGTGGTTACTGGGAAACTTCTTCGCACTAAAAAGTAATAATAAGAAATACACAGGGCTTTGGATTTCTAAGTATTACATGATGAAAGAAGGAGGTCAAGTAAGACTTTGTAATGTTTGGGCCAACGAATATATAATAATTTCAGAATATTTAGTACCAGATTTGCATGATGGCAGGATGAAGTTAGCATGGAGACGATAAGATGAGAGTAGAAGGAAAAACACTCCCTTCCCTGACCCCCATTGTGTCTTTGTTGTTTGTTTAACTGTGGATATGGAGATTGCAAATAAATTTGAATTTGATGATGGGTCACATGGATTGTCATATGCCAACACAAGAACAACTGTTACCAAATAAAACAAGCGATTTATTTTGTAATTGGTAGTTTAATTTATATTTCCTCATCCTTCTGTCAATGTCTGCCATATTATTTATGAAGCAAAAGAGTTGTTCATTGAACTTTTTTCATTTATAACTTAAATAATAAGCATTTTTTCATTTATTTGGAAATAAATCTGACCACAAATTGCTTATTCATGTCGTAAAAAGAGTCGAAGTTAACATTATTGACAAACATTGGGTACTATAGATGGACAAAATTAAAAGGTAAATTCTTAATTTTAAGACTTTTTATGTTTGATTGAAAAAACCAATTTAGTATCCAGCTTTCTATACATACAATACAATCATCAATTCCTATTATCACCACACTCCTGAACAAATGTTTTAAAACACTATATGATGTGTTCACATAAATCACTTTATTAATAACAATAGGGTATCTTTAATATTAAAAAAAAAATACAGTAATAATTTGAATTTCTCACTGTAATAAAAAGTTCATAAAAGGCAAGTTCCTTTTTAGTTTTTACATCTAAAATAAAATAAAAAATAAAAAGGGTATTTTTTAATCGAAAATAACCCATATGGTCCAAAGCGGTAGACTGTAGTAAAGCCGCAAAGTGGAGCAGCAAGGCTTTGAATGTGATGTTTGGGTTCACACGCCTCAGCCCGATCTCAGCCTATCAAACCCAATATATGGATCAGCCCAATTGAATCAACCCACTTTCTGTTTAACAACTCCAACAAAAATAAGATTTTTTATTGCAGTGTCTTGAATTCAATCCACAATGGTATGTTAAGGTTATAGCATCCTTTTTTGAATTCCTCTCCTACCTATCATATGTTAAATTCATTTATCACTAAACAAATCCATTTTTTACTCTTTATATTCAATTTCCTTTGATTTGGGCCAAGTTTCAGGCTGCCTGTCTTCTAGCTTTTCAAAAGATTTTAAAGATATTCTAAGTAGGCCCATAAAAATAAAATGATGATTTTTTAATAATTGGATGAACTTTGGGTTAAATCAATATTAGATTTGGTTAAGTATAATTACAAGGGACACAGATTGTAATCAATATCAAATTGATATTCATATTTCCAAAAGAAAATGACATTAACAGACAAACGTGTGAAGATTTGATTTACTTTCTCATATAATTGTCCCACTTTAACTAGGCTAAAACTCACTATGTCATTGTCCTTGTTCATTAGACAAACATTAAGGTCCTACTTTATTATATTCTCATATTTTGATTGCTCAATCTTATATATATATATATATATATATTTTTATATAATATATATATATATTATATATATATACTATATAGATATATATATATGGTTGTGGTTGGGAACTTTCAACACAGCCGAAGAAGCGGCACGAGCTTACGATAAAGCTGCTTTTTCCATGAGGGGTCCCTTGGCCATTCTTAACTTCCCTGACGAACACTTCTCATTTAATGTCAGTTCTTCTTCCTCTTCACCACTCTCTTCTTCTTCTTCCTCCTCCTCCTCTTCTTCTTCTTCATCAGCATCGTGCTTATCATCTTCTAATTTAACAATGTTTCAGAAAGTGGAAAGAAGTGGTGCTGAAACAGGGAAAGAAGTATTTGAAATTGAGTACTTGGATGACCAGTTGTTGGAGGACCTTCTTAACTTTGAAGAAGACAAGACCAAGAATGAATGAAATCACCAATACGACGTCCATATGCAACCTCTACCATCGAGTAAATCGAAAAAATATATTTTACTTACTAAGAAAGGTTGTTCGGTCAAATGACGAAACAGACTATTGAATTTCGTCATTATGGCTTCTGTAGTTATTAATTACAACTGTTGGGGGGACATTTATCTGTCAAAGAATATATTTCTGACGGCTCCGATGTATATGAGAATGAATTGACTTCTTCTGAAGTCAAATCTCAGCCACGCGTCGGTATTGGTTTTTGCTTTAAATATGTTTCTTGTTCGCCAGCCCCTCCCCCTCCACCCAAAAGAAGGTTCCTTTACCGAAAAAGGGTAATGTTTCATTTTAATTTTCATGTTGCTTAATCCAATTGCTGAATATGAGATGTTAGGTTGTTTAAGTCTTTATTATCATGAAGTAAATGAGTGAAATACAAGTAGCCTGCTTGCCAGAACTTAATTAAAAACCCAGAATACATAAATTCTGCATATCGTTTTTAAAAATTTATGATCAGTTGATCACCAGTACCAGTCTACTGTAATGATACTTCCCATGGCTCGAAACGCGGATATTTGCAAAGAATAAAAATTTCAATTACGCAGAAAAGGATCTACAATAAGCAACAACTTGTTGACAAACGAATCTAGCTAGTTATTGTTATTTTTACCTGGCCAATAATCCTCCTTTGTATCTAGAAGCTCCTCCAATAACTCATTGTCTAAATACTCGAACTCTATAACTTCATTTTTAGTTTCTTTTCCAGCTCTAGAAGAAACTCCTCTGCCAGAGCCAGTTCCAGATCCAGATCCAGAATCAGAACCAGAACCAGAGACATTACCATAATTAGCCCGAGAAGATGATGATGATGAAGAGAAAGAGGTGGATTGAGCATGATACTGATAGTCGTTTGGGAAGTTAAGAATGGCTAAATGACCCCGGAAAGCAAAAGCAGCTCTATCATAAGCTCGAGCCGCCTCTTCAGCAGTGTTAAAAGTGCCAAGCCACAGGCGAGCACCATTCCTTGTTGGGTCACGTATTTCAGCTGCAAACCTACCCCATGGTCTCCGACGAATTCCCCTGTAACGAACCTCTGATCTTCCATTAATCTCATTGCTCTCCATCTTCTTGTTGTTGTTCTTGGTGTTTCTGCCTCCCCTGGGTGTCTCCATGTTGTTTATGAAATAACAGCAGTGAGACAATTCGTAACGTCCAAAAAAATTTAATTAGAAAGTTGGTGGCAACTAATTATAATGGAACGCCATAGGATACATATGTATATAATGGTATAGCCACATCAGATGTAGAAAAAAAAAATTGGTCACAGCTGACGGTTGAGAAATGAGAAGTGGTTACTGGGAAACTTCTTCGCACTAAAAAGTAATAATAAGAAATACACAGGGCTTTGGATTTCTAAGTATTACATGATGAAAGAAGGAGGTCAAGTAAGACTTTGTAATGTTTGGGCCAACGAATATATAATAATTTCAGAATATTTAGTACCAGATTTGCATGATGGCAGGATGAAGTTAGCATGGAGACGATAAGATGAGAGTAGAAGGAAAAACACTCCCTTCCCTGATCCCCATTGTGTCTTTGTTGTTTGTTTAACTGTGGATATGGAGATTGCAAATAAATTTGAATTTGATGATGGGTCACATGGATTGTCATATCTATGCAATGCCAACACAAGAACAAGCGATTTATTTTGTAATTGGTAGTTTAATTTATATTTCCTCATCCTTCTGTCAATGTCTGCCATATTATTTATGAAGCAAAAGAGTTGTTCATTGAACTTTTTTCATTTATAACTTAAATAATAAGCATTTTTTCATTTATTTGGAAATAAATCTGACCACAAATTGCTTCTTCATGTCGTAAAAAGAGTCGAAGTTAACATTATTGACAAACATTGGGTACTATAGATGGACAAAATTAAAAGGTAAATTCTTAATTTTAAGACTTTTTATGTTTGATTGAAAAAACCAATTTAGTATCCAGCTTTCTATACATACAATACAATCATCAATTCCTATTATCACCACACTCCTGAACAAATGTTTTAAAACACTATATGATGTGTTCACATAAATCACTTTATTAATAACAATAGGGTATCTTTAATATTAAAAAAAAAATACAGTAATAATTTGAATTTCTCACTGTAATAAAAAGTTCATAAAAGGCAAGTTCCTTTTTAGTTTTTACATCTAAAATAAAATAAAAAATAAAAAGGGTATTTTTTAATCGAAAATAACCCATATGGTCTAAAGCGGTAGACTGTAGTAAAGCCGCAAAGTGGAGCAGCAAGGCTTTGAATGTGATGTTTGGGTTCACACGTATCAGCCCGATCTCAGCCTATCAAACCCAATATATGGATCAACCCAATTGAATCAACCCACTTTCTGTTTAACAACTCCAACAAAAATAAGATTTTTTATTGCAATGTTTTGAATTCAATCCACAATGGTATGTTAAGGTTATAGCATCCTTTTTTGAATTCCTCTCCTACCTATCATATGTTAAATTCATTTATCACTAAACAAATCCATTTTTTACTCTTTATATTCAATTTCCTTTGATTTGGGCCAAGTTTCAGGCTGCCTGTCTTCTAGCTTTTCAAAAGATTTTAAAGATATTCTAAGTAGGCCCATAAAAATAAAATGATGATTTTTTAATAATCGGATGAACTTTTACATTTTGGGTTAAATCAATATTAGATTTGGTTAAATATAAATACAAGGGACAGAGATTGTAATCAATATCAAATTGATATTCATATTTCCAAAAGAAAATGACATTAACAGACAAACGTGTGAAGATTTGATTTAATTTCTCATATAATTGTCCCACTTTAACTAGGCTAAAACTCACTATGTCATTGTCCTTGTTCATTAGACAAACATTAAGGTCCTACTTTATTATATTCTCATATTTTGATTGCTCAATTCTCTTGAATACGTCCAAATATTAAACATAGGATTTCCATCCCCAATAAATAAAATATACAAGGTGGGATTCACATTCCACATCTAGCTTGATTTAGATTAGAATGTAAAAAACAATTAAAAGAGATTTCTTGGCAAGTTCTCAAAATGGTCAAATTGGCTTCAATGATTAAGTTACTGTGGGAGTGTGCATGTATTTTGCCATTAACTTTAGTATGGGTGACATAACCAATGACCAAATTCTGATTTTGCTGACCCCACAAAAAGAAATAAGATATGATTAAGGGTTCTAATTAAACTTAATGAATTATTTGTTTAATTTGTATGATGGTCTCCTATGACTTTCAACATAGTCCGCATTTTGATAGAATCCATCACTTCCAAAAAGAAAAGGAAACATATTACCTTAATCCAATATTAAATCCTCACCGGACTTCACAAGATTTGGCTGACAACCATATCATTTCATTTTGTATTTTATTATAAGGTACCATCAATTGACAATGCAAATTCAATAGTTTTTTTTTTTTTCTTGATTTAAACTAGTGTTTAAAACCAATCTGGGTGAAACCTGGCAAAGTAGTCAGGTCTCGGGTTGACCGGTTTGAAATTTAACAAAAATACATTTGAAAATTACATGTAAATTTATATAGGTTTGAAATCTTGCAAAACACCTCAAACACCACCATCAACATTGGCAAATAGGGTCTATTCCCACAACGATAACACTTCCCATAAACATAAAAACACTCCCCTTAGCCTCCTAACCAAAACTCATCTCACTTCTCCCTAGTTCGCCTCCCCAATCGTTGACAACAACGAGCTTTTTTTGACAATATAGTTTTACGATTTTTGGTTGATTCACTGACCGAAAATCACCATCGTTGCCATTATTGCACTCACCGACCATTTCTTTTCAAAAACCCTAACATTCTAGCCTTCAATTATTCACGGATTAATGTCCTAATTTCTAGGATTTTTAATGAATAGGAAAATTTGTAACCCAACCCAATGAAAACCCCGGATCTTGATTCAACTGGCCAGGCTAGATGGGGTTTTAAAACATTGATTTAAACTATAAAACTAGAGGAATCAAGTTAAAAGTAAAAGAAGAAGAGATGCATGCATTTGATTGCTTAAAGTTAAATCTCACGAGAAAGGAAATTAATAAGCATAATTTTTGGAGAATTAATTAAGGTATGGAAATATTTTTGACACGTTGAAGTTACGAGTAAGAACGAAGTTCCAAGGAATTATGGATACGGGTTCATGCATCAAACCAAAAATATTTCATATTCCAAGGCCCCATTAACATCACAACTTGCAACTTGGCGTTGGCCCTCCACTAAAATCCCATTGGATTATCAAACTAATTCTTGCTCACCTAATTCTCCCTATTTTTCAATTTTTTATTCTTACCCCCACTTCTTACAATGATGCAATTTTAATAATATATATATATAAATATATATATATATATCCTTTAATTGCAATAGCAGAATAATACATAAATATCTTAAAACATTATTATTGTTTATTACGAATTTACGATATTCTTAAAGTTTGGTTGAGTGGTTGGAAATATTCATAAATTTTTTTTTCATAATTTTTAGTATTACACAATTTTATTTTATTTTATTTTTATAATCAAGGTGTTCAAGCTCGTCTGCTCGCACTTCAACTAATTCTTGAAACTCATTAAACACCCAATAAATCCAATGTTACAAGTAAAACACAAATGTGATAAGTCATAAGTGATTACATGGTGATAGGTAACCTGAAGGTGGTTTGAACTTAGAAAGTCAATGAAAAGAGTAAACATTTTTAATCACCCGGTTAATTACATGATCAATATATCCATTAATATAAATGATTGAGAAATAAATCAATTAACAAGAAAAAGTTTGATAAAACCTCTATTTTCATTGATTTACTTCTATTGGTACATGGTATTAGGATAATTACACATTCTTAAGATTCATCCTGATCTTTAAACATGGTAATTACCCACTAATCCAAAGATACAATAAAATAATTCCCAATTATGAAATTAATAACTATTCTACATGGTCAGATTTCCAAAATTAGGATGAGGTTATAATTAAATAAAGGAATACAATAAAAATGATTAATTTAGTGAAGATATATTGAGGAAACAAGTTGTGTATTTTTATATACAAGTGGATGATTAAAATATTTGGAATTGAAAGTCTACCTACTTACGTATGAAATTTAAATAACAACAATGTTTTGGTTTTTGTTTTAGTCTTACCAAAAATTCAAAAATAAAGAATGCAAAATTAGTAAGGGTGGAGTCATTGATGATGGCTCGTAATAAAGAAAGGTCCGTAATAAAAATATAATGAGGTGATCCTAAAACTGGACAAGTACAATGAATGTTGAATGAGTGTATTTAGTAATTAGTCAAAATTCCAATGACTGATTTTTTATCAGAGTATGGACTGCCTACGTAAGTTTTATGAATATTTCTTTGATTATATACACTAACGTCTTGCTGTATTTTAAATTATATAAACATCATTCATAATTTTATCTAGATATTTAAGATCTTGAATCAGATCAGGAGACCCGAATTGCGCCGGCCCTGCTTCTCATCAATTAACTAGAATTGTGTTTTTATTTTTAAACACAAAAGAAACAGAATAACCACTTTGAAATATGGAAAGAGTTTCAAAGGGAGTGATGGATTTACTACTGCGTGTTGAATCAAAGTGTCATAAATTGGTAACCGTTTTCGTTTGATTTTCAAACATTGGTTTGGACCTGTAATTGTAAATTCAAATTTTCTTCAAGGCCTGTATCTGGACTGCTTCACTTGCCATCAAACAACGACACTTCAAGTCTTTACCTCGTTGTCATTTCACAAGAAACCAAAGCTTTAATTGCTGCATGCGTGCTCTATCCTTTTCTGGACTCATCCCAGCTAAAATTCATACGCACTAACAATCATAATTGCATTTTTTATTTTTAATTAATCATTTTTCGAAAATTTCAATCTCATTTACCAGAGGTGAATCATGAAATTGATGAACATTACCAGAGAGTAATAATGGCTCATTGCATTCCTGCTTGTTGCTGGGGATTGGACAACACATTTAACCTGTAACACTATTAAGGCTGCTTTTACTGTCGTTTAACACATAAAATTTAATAATTCAATTTATTAATTTCATCTATAACCAAATACAATACAATATAATATATAACACGTATAATAATACCAACCTACTCCAATTCAATCCCCACAAGTCAAATGTATTTTATAAAATAAAAAGAAAAATATAATTCATTCCATATAATGCGTTTCTGTTGTGAGATTCGTGTGATGTGTTGTAACTGTTTTTTTTTTTATTATTATGATTAGGGTGTCTGAGCTAACTTTTGCATATCTCAAGTGATTCTCTGAGACCTTAAAACTATCAACCAAATAAAAATTCTAATAACTATTTATATTAGTATCTGGTAAAAAATTTAAACTTAAAATTTTTTGAATAATACATTCAAAAGTTCTTATCGTACCGTTTAACCATTCATAAATGTTTCCTCTATTTTACGACACTTTGACCTTACTCAAACTTAGAGGTTTTTATGTTGAATTCGCGGAAAAATGATATCTTAACTAATTTAACTATTAACTGATGTATACAGTTATGTTAAATAAAAAAAATAAAAAATAAAAAGATTTAATGGTTACTGCAACTGTCGTCTTCAATGTCTTAATTACCAGGAAAAGATCACCGAGGTTTAGTAAAATAGTGCCACGTGGAAAAGAAGAACGTCATCAAATGGAGTCATAGTGATCCGTAAGTGGGCCAAAGGGCGCCGCCGTACGTCATTCACTCACGTGCCTAAACGCTTTATTATGTGGTCCTCAAAATAATACCCGAATTAAATTTATATCCCAACAATTTGAGACATCCTCCTTGACCGATAACTAAACCTTTCAATTCTCTTTTGGTTTTATCCTCCATTCTTATTTTAATCTATAATTTCTTTATTATTTTTATTTCAACTCTCTCTTTTCTTCGGGTATATAAACACGTTTGGCTAATCAATTTCATCTTAGAACAGCAACACAGTTGCCGCACTTTACCAACAAATCCATCGACAAAACTTGAAATTTTATCCTACATGGAATCTTGTTTCTTTGATTACCCAACTCCTGAATTTTCCCCACAATCATCCTTTGCTTCTTCATCGCTTGAACCTTTTTCTTGGGATAACCTTCTTTTCACTCATAATTCTCTTCCTTTTAATATTCATGACCCCGGCGAAATGTTGTTTCTTGACGTTCCAGCTGAAGGAACTAAAGAATCAATTTCCGACTCCAATAATTCCGGCGATGGAGTTAATAACAAAGAAGATCACGAGGTGACTTCAACTGCGCCCAGAGTTGAAGAGTCTTCTTCCTCAAACTCAAACTCCAAGAAGGAGAAGGCTTATAGAGGCGTTAGAAAGAGGCCATGGGGGAAATACGCAGCGGAGATAAGGGACTCAACGAGAAATGGAGTGAGAGTTTGGTTAGGCACCTTTGATTGTGCGGAGGCGGCGGCTTTAGCTTATGACCAAGCAGCATTTTCAATGCGTGGTTCATTAGCTACCCTTAATTTTCCGATTGACATGGTAAAAGAATCACTTCATGAAATGAAGTACCGTTGTGAGGAAGGTTGCTCGCCGGTTGTGGCTCTAAAAAGACGACACTCGATGAGAAAGAAATCATCATCATCAAGTAAGAAAAGTTGTAAAAATAGGACAGAAGTTGTAGGGTCACAAAATGTGGTGGTGCTTGAAGATTTAGGAGCTGATTATCTTGAACAACTTTTGAGCTCATGTGAAAGTGGTGCTTCTCCTAATTGGTGAAGCATCATCATCAGTGCACTAGATTCCTTTGGTTTATTTTTAATTAGTATTTATCTGTTTTTAAACTATTGACGGTGTCTTGGTGGGGTTAGACCAATCTGGTTTTAATGTATTACCCATTTTTTTCTTATTTCTTCATGTGTTTGTTTTTTTGTAAAGTTTCAAAAGCAAAGGTGTATAAAAAGTTGCACTGTCTTGTCTAACTCCATTATTGCAGTCTATAATAAATATTAAAATATTGAACTCTTTTTGGCCGACTTAAGATTTGTCAATGATCTGGGTTTGCTGAACAACAAACCAGAATTTGTCACATTTGATCGATTATATTGCTTTACAAGTTATATAAACAAGTTGGCCTTAAACAATGAATTATTTTGTGTCAGAGTTTGAGCTAGCAAGAGAGGCGGAGAGGATCAGAGAGAGAGAGATAATTGAGACTGCCGGAGGCCCGGAGTATGCTAGGAGAAGAATACAAATTCTGGGTATATTGTATTGTCATTCTGGACACTACTGTATTTATACAAGAAAAGAATAAGCAATAAGGAAATACAATATTGTGTCATAATGTTGTGATCATAGTAAATTAGGAAATAATCAAAGGGAATATTTAGGGGTGAGTGGTTCCGAGTACCCTGCATTTTTCGGGGGAATCAAAACCAGACAGTGTAAATTCCTAAAAAAAGGAATCGGAACCAGAACCACACAGTGCAGGTTCTGAAATTCAAGGAACCGGAACCTAAAACGCAGGTTCCGGTTCCTTTCCCGGGTACCCTATAAAAAATTAATTACCCCTCTATTAGTTTAAAAAAATGATAAAAATACCTTAAAAGTTTACAAATACACCCCTAACAAATTTTGATTACTCATTCATTTGTGTCTAATGTGACTCATAAATCCTCTAATCTCTCGGCAACACTTGAATTCAATCTATTCATCACAATTCACATAAAATTCCTCAATCAAAACCAAAACACAAACAATTAATTAAATTAATTAAACAATCATACTATAAATCTATAATTTAATATTATAATTAATTAAGTTTATAATCATTTAATTAAGTATTGTACTAATGTTTATAATAGAATATTATAATTAATAAGTAATCATACTATAAATCTATAATGTAATGGTATAATTAATTAAATTTTTAATAATTTAATTAAGTAAATTACTAATATTTATAATGTAATATTATAAATTTATAATTAATTAAGTAATCATTTAACTATGTAATGTTATTATTAATTAAGTAATTATTTAATTATAATATAATGTTTTAATTAATTAAATTTCTAATCATTTAATTAAGTATTGTACTAATGTTTATAATAGAATGTTATAATTAATAAAGTAATCATTTGTTTATAACGTAATATTATAATTAATTAAGTAATCATATTATAAATTTATAATGTAATGTTTTAATTAATTAAATTTCTAATCATTTAATTAAGTATTGTACTAATGTTTATAATAGAATGTTATAATTAATTAAATAATCGTATTATAAATTTATAATGTAATGCTATAATTAATTAAATTTTTAATAATTGAATTAGGTATTGTACTAATGTAGTAAATTACTAATGTTTATAATATAATATCATAATTAATTAAGTAATCATTTCATTATGTAATATTATAATTAATTATGTAATCATACTATAATGTAATATTATAATAAATTAAGTAATCATACTATAAATCTTTAATATAATATTATAATTAATTAAATTTCTAATAATTTAATTAAATATTGTACTAATGTTTATAATGGAATGTTAGAATTAATTAAGTGATTATTTGTTTATAACGTAATATTATAATTAATTAAGTAATCATACTATAAATTTATAATATAATGTTATAATTAATTAAATTTCTAATAATTTAATTAAGTATTATACTAATGTAATAAATTACTAATGTTTATAATATAATGTCATAATTAATCAAGTAATCATTTAATTATGTAATGTTATAATTAATTATGTGATCATACTATAAATGTAATATTATAATGAATTAAGTAATCATACTATAAATCTTTAATGTAATATTATAATTAATTAAATTTTTAATCATTTAATTAAGTATTATACTAATGTTTATAATGGAATGTTATAATTAATTAAGTAATCATTTATTTATAATGTAATATTATAATTAATTCAATTTCTAATTATTTAATTAAGTAATGTACTAAATTACTAATGTAATGTTATAAACTTATAATTAACTAAGTAATCATTTAACCATATTAAGTAATCATTTAACTAGTAATGTATTAATGTTTATCAATTTATTTTATATAATTAATTAATTAATACTAATTAATTACAGATATATTTAGAACTTGATAATTGAAGTAAATAACTAAATATTATATTATTATTCAATCAAATATACTATTTTATTCAAAAATAATTCTTTTAATTGGTCATAATTCCAATTATACACTTAATTAATCAAAACTTTAATATTAATATATTAAAGTTTTTTATATGGTGTAGTTTATATGTAATAAGTATAATTGTATATTTATTTAATTAGGTTATTGTAAAAATTTAATTTTTTAATATGTAAAATTATATGGACCCCCCATTCTTCACATATATTTTATTTCAACCCAGGTTTCAAAACAGGGTACCCGCTGTAGGTTCCAAGCCAAGTACCTACTGCAAGTTCTTTTTTCTAGGTTTCGGTTCTGATTTTGGTTCCTCCACATGTAGGAATCAAAACTGGAACTGCATAGTGTCAGTTCCAAAAAAATGGAATTGGAACCTACCCGCACAGTTTCGGTTCGGGTAGGTTCCGATTTCGGTTCTACCTACAGGTTCTGGTTCTATCCGCTACATGTGCTCACCCCTAGGAATATTTGATATAATGATCAAATATTAGCATTCCATATTTCATCACTCCCCTTCAAGCTTGTGGTTTGTATACGTCCAAAACATTAAGCTTATGTAGTAGATATGAATGATGTCTGCTGCATAAAGGCTTTGTGAAGATGTCTGTTGGTTGCTCTGTAGTGCGGATGTGCAAAGTCTTGATCATCCCCTTTTGAATCTTTTCTCTAATGAAATAACAATCGATCTCTACTTGTTTGTTTCTCTCATGAAAAATTAGATTTGCAGCAATATCATTTGTAGCCTTATTATCGTAGTATAGAGTGACTGGTTCTTTAACTTGTACCTTAAGGTCCTTCAGAAATCCAAGGATCCAAGCAATTTCACATGTGGTTTTAGCCATAGCTATATATTCTGCTTCTGCTGATGAAAGAGAAATTGTTGACTGCTTCTTCTTTTTTTTTCCAAAATATGAGGGATCCTCTAAGTTTGATGCAAAAATCGGTGAGGGACTTTCTTGTCATAGGGCAAGTACCCCAATCTGAATCACAATAAGCTGTTAGATCCAGATTCCCATCCCGTGGTAAAAGAAGTCCTAGACCAAGACATCCTTTCAAGTATCTTAGAACCTTCAATGCTTCATTTTATGTGGGATTATTTTGGTTTGTGCATGAATTGGCTGAGAATGTGGATTGCATAACTTATGTCGGGTCGTGTCATTGTAAGATAGATCAGTCGACCCACGAGCCTTTGGTAGTGTGATGGCTCCTCAAGGGTTGGATCAACTTCTGAGGATGATACTCCACTATCGTATTCTTGGGTAATGAGCTTGGTATTTTGTTCAACAAGAATAGCACTTGGTTTGCAGGCTGATAATCTTGAGTCTGAAATGAGTTGTAAGACATATTTTCGCTGACTAAGGGATATGCCAGCAGGAGATCTGGCAATTTCAATACCCAAAAAATATTTGGGCTCCCATAGATCTTTAATACGGATATTTCTGTTGAGATGCTCTTTTAAGTTACTAATGGCTACCTTATCATTTGTTGTGATAAAAATATCATCAACATAGATGATAAGAGCAATAAAAATTTTACCTCGGTGCTAGGAGAAAAGAGCATAATCATGTTTGGACTGATTAAATCCTATGCCTGTGAGTGCCTCTGTGAACTTTTCATTCCACTATTGGGATGCTTGTTTCAAGCCATAAAGGGATTTTTGCAGACAACACACAGTATCCTCCCCTTGTCTGCGAATGCCTAGAGGCAAGTCCATATAGATTCCTCATGAAGATCCCCATAAAGGAATGCATTGTGGACATCCATTTGATGTAGAGACCACCCGCAAACAGTGGCAATAGACAAGAAAGCACGGACAGTAACATGCTTAGCATCCGGGGAAAATGTTTCCTAGCAACCAAAACCCTCATGTTGAGTAAAACCTTTAGCAACTAGATGGGCTTTGTAGCGTTCAATGAAACCATCAGCACGGTACTTAATTTTGCATACCCACTTACAGCCAATGGGTTTACAATGAGTAGGACAGGGCACCAAGTCCCATGTATGATTCTGAGCAAGGGCATTAAGTGCCAATGAAAATGCTAGACAACTTTAGAATAGCAAGATGGTTCCCGGTCAGTAGATATTTGGCTAACACATATCCTATGGGTAGAAGATATTATGTCAAAAGTAACATAGTTGGAGGTGGGATAAGTGGTACCTGAGGAATCTAGGATAGAAGGACAAACATAATTAGCCGTCCAAACAGGTGGCCGAGTAAGATGAGAGGATCGTCTAGGAGGGGCCGAAGCTGGTGACATATCTTGGGAGTCAAGAGAAGTACCAATGTCTACAGAATCAGAAGAATCTACTGAATCTTTATCAGTAGGTGAATCAGTAGCCGGAGTTGGTGAAGGAGGAGAGTCTGAAAATGGTGTACTAGTCTCCTTGGCACGTAGCAAAATATAGCGAGGTGCGGAAGAAGAAAAATCATCATCCAGGAATGGTGGAGATGGGGAACTGGGAGCTTCATCGGTTTCCTTGAAAAGGAATGTGTCTTCATGAAATATAACATCCTTGGAAACAAAAAAACTTGTTATGGACCGAATCATATAAGCGGTATCCCTTTTGTAACAAAGGATATCCCATAAAAATGCACCTTGTGGACCGTGGCACAAATTTGCCATGAGAAGCAACAATGGTAGAGTAATAGAGACACCCAAACACTCGGAGATGATTGGTGTTAGGTGGTTTCCCAAAGAGAATGTCATAAGGGGATTTGCCACTAAGAACCCGAGTGGGCATCTGATTGATCAGGTAAGTAGTTGTGACCACACATTCATCTCAAAAACCTACAGGGCTATGAGATTGGTGTTTAAGGGCATGGGCTACAACAAGGAACAACTA